ACTATGTAACACTAGTATTTACACTTATATAAATATACTGACAACCATGTAACACTAATATTTACACTTATATAAATATATTGACAACTATGTAACACTAGTATTTACACTTATATAAATATACTGACACTATGTAACACTAGTATTTAGACTTATATAAATATACTGACACTATGTAACACTAGTATTTAGACTTATATAAATATATTGACACTATGTAACACTAGTATTTAGACTTATATAAATATATTGACAACCATGTAACACTAATATTTACACTTATATAAATATATTGACACTATGTAACACTAGTATTTACACTTATATAAATATACTGACACTATGTAACACTAGTATTTACACTTAATTAAATATATTGACACTATGTAACACTAGTATTTACACTTATATATATACTGACAACTATGCAACACTAGTATTTACACTTAATTAAAATATATTGACACTATGTAACACTAGTATTTACACTTATATAAATATACTGACAACCATGTAACACTAATATTTACACTTATATATATACTGACAACTATGCAACACTAGTATTTACACTTACATAAATATACTGACACTATGTAACACAAGTATTTACACTTACATAAATTTATTGACACTACAAACAGGACTTTTTCTCACTATTTTGGAAATGGGACCCAAGTATTTAGAATTTTCAGAATTATACCAAATACTGATTTTTTTGTTTCATTTTTGTTTTAGTTTTTGCAAAGTACCAACAAACAGGCTAACTAATCCTTATTTATTAAATAGCATATCAATGTATATGGTGCTGTTGCATGTCATTTGAACATAATATAAAAGCTGAGAATTACCAGAATAAAAGAGAACTTGTCAAGGGCAGGTAATGCAGTGCCATGACAATTTCCAATTGTAGCTACACACTCAAAGTAAAGAATAATATCCAGTGTTTCCAGTTAAATACCTTAGACTATTTTATTGAGAGTAATTCAGTGCCGACTGTAACTATTATATATAGCGGGAGCCATTCCTCAGCATATTCTGATATGGTTGTGTTACCTTTCTCAATGCTGGTGCCATCTTGTTTGTGAGTGTGCCTGCGACAATGATGCAGTCAGACTGACGAGGACTGGCCCGAAACACCACACCAAATCTGTCCATGTCGTATCGGGGTGCGGCAAAATGCATCATCTCCACTGCACAGCAGGCTAGACCAAATGTCATGGGCCAAATGGAACCCTGGAATTAATTAAAGACAGTTAAAAAATACTTATCTGTACCTGTATATTAAAAAATGTAATATCACAAGTTAGATTATATCTGAATATTTAGGCATATATACTCTTCATTTGTGGTTGTTTTTGTTATTTTTATCTTTTTCTTGGAAATACAACTAACAAACAATATGATATCAATCAAGGTATCACAAGTGACACCAAACCACACCCCCACGCTGTTTGACACGTGTAACCACACCCCCACGCTGTTTGACATGTGTACACAAAGTAGTGGACAATTCACTCAACGCTCTAGGGACGGAATTACTTCATCAACAACAGGTATTCATTGTGTGGTTTGTATTTTGCTAGTTTTAGAAAACATTTTTTGCTTTTGATATGAAAAGGCAAACACACAATGAGAATATTCTTCTGTATTTATGGAATTGAAACATTAATGAGGATTTTGATACATGTACCTGCATAAACAATACAAGTGAAAGAAAAAGGGCCTTTGAAAACATGATTATGATTAGAAATTAGGTCTATAGCTATGACATATGAAACAAACAAAATTCCAATGTGGATTGAATGCCTGATCACTGGATCCCTCTCTCTGTAAACAGACACTCTGTAAACAGATACTCTCTCTGTAAACAGATACTCTGTAAACAGATACTCTGTAAACAAATACTCTCTCTGTAAACAGACACTCTGTAAACAGATACTCTCTCTGTAAACAGACACTCTGTAAACCGATACTCTCTCTGTAAACAGATACTCTGTAAACAGATACTCTCTCTGTAAACAGACACTCTGTAAACAGATACTCTCTCTGTAAACAGACACTCTGTAAACAGATACTCCAGGACTGCACCACAATGATATTAAAGTATCATATTGCACTATGGATTATTACTAAATAGTGTAACAGTAAAATTCTATTATAAGTTATAATGACTTTGACCTTTGACTGATGGTCCCACCAAGACAAACATACCTATGAAGTTTTATAAAAATCTGTCGAGAAATACAGCTGCTATAGTGATGACAAGGAGTGTGATGGTGAAATTCTTTAGTAACAGTGTTCTTGACCATTAATGTGCGACTCCTATATAGTTAACATACATGTAAGGTTTCATGAAACTCTGCCTAGAAATATGGCTGCTACAGTGAAGTTTCATGACAATTATTCCAGAAAAATGGCCGCTAGAATGATTGTATGGGGGCAACATGGTTATGTATGGGGAAAATCATCCTAGATATCCAGGGGTTACGCTCAATTTCGCTCTCTGCACCCCTGGAATATGTCATAGCAAAATTGAAGGCACGAAGATAGCTGTTTGATTGGTCTCGGGTAAAAAAAACCTGACCAATCGCTAGGCAGATACCTTTCCTTTGAAGATTATAAAGGAGAGACATCAGACTTCAAAGCCTGTCAAATTTTTACTGTTATGTGACTGCGAGATTCTTTTGATGTACATCAAAGGAACGAACTAGTCTTCTTCCATCAACAAGGTGGCGCACACTGAGCCTTCAATTTTGCTATGGCATATTCCAGGGGTGTAGAGAGCGAAAGTGAGCGTATAACCCCTGGATATTTTATGAATTTTTTCCCATTAATTCTCATTTAGTAACTGTGTAACACTTTCAAATGTTCATGCAACACAATAATGCCTGCTACAATATATCACCAAGGTTAGGGCTAGAAGCCTGCTATCTTGCATTTAACTCTTGCAGTATTGGAGAGAGTTTGGCTTCATATTTTCATACTGTTTAGTTTTGAATTTCAATTGACCCAAAGTTCAACATGGCAAGTTCTTTTTGTCCTTACATGAAGCACTTTTATAAATCTTACCTTCCTTCCCCAGTTCACCAGGTCATCCATACGTGCCAAAGCAAACTCTGCCTTGCCAGTCGTATTTAAGAAGGGCGAGTACTTTTTACGCTTCACAACGCCTCCTCCAGTGCTCTGGTCTACTTCATTTCTCTCTCCCGCTGTAGCTATTTTAGTACTCTGTTCTCTGTAGGGAACCAGACTGTCAAATACAGAGCAAAATTAAATAGGTGTGACTTTTTAAAGAAATAAAGGTTAAAGTTCTGGGCCCGTATTCATGAAACTGTTTTCGTGCTCAAGTATGGACTTTGTGCTCTAGCCTCATTTCTTGTTCTGGTTATAAGTTAATAAACAAATCTTATTTTGTCAAGGATTTTGAAAAATATTAAGGAGACTTGAAGCCAAAAAAATATGAGAATATATATAGAAACAATCTTGCTTCTTTTGATCATCAGAAGATTAAAATTACTTTTTTTATACTTTCAAGTTTCATGTCCATTTCTGGGTGACAACTACATATATACATTTTGATATCTTTTTGAAATCTGCAAATGATTTTTCTCAACCATGATATGGAAGAGATGATATTGTATACATCAGGCAGCTACAGTTACCGTAGGTGTGACTGAACATTAGAAGTTTGTGATTATCATGGAAAAGGATAAGGTTTTCAAATGAAAAAAGTTACAGCAAATTCTTGAATCTTACAAATAAAATGTATAGGTACTACAGTGTTTATATATATAAAAAAAAATGCTAATAAGACAAACATATTTCGTTTTGTTAAAGCATATAATATTTTCAGCTTGTTTTGTTTCAGATGATATTTATTTTCTCTTATTTCATCTTTATATGTTAACAGTTAAAATTTCCCATCTATATAGCATCTCATACAACTTGCAGAAAACGGTTAATAACTGAAAACTTAACTCCAGAATAAAACACAATCCTAAAAAATGCACCGTAAAAACCTGTGTAATTTGCACACCTATGTAACTTGCACAGGTACATTTTGAGGCTGAAAATCTGAAAAAAGCTTCTACTCAAACATTTTGTGCACCAAACAAAAACTAGAAAAAAAAACCTGATGTTCATGCTCCGAAAATCAATCTCTGAAAATGAAAGACAAACTGCTTGGGATTCTTAGGATTTTTGTAATTTGTTTATTATCAGCGAGTTCATATTTCTTGTTTACCGGTACAATGATATTAAAACCAAGAGGAAACTGTGTAAAATGTGTCTTTTGTTGTTTGTTTCCTTTGAAATATCTGATCACACTTAACACACACGTGTGCGCATATCGGCATAGATCATTTTATTTTAGCAATATTTTACATAAAACATTTACTCGACACAAATAAATTTGTTGATCGTCATTGAGTTCCGTGTACCAAGGGAGATAATCTCTTGTGTCCAAGACGGCGGTCTGCCAGAATCGTGGATCTTTTCTTTTCTTGAAAAAAACCTTGAAATTGCTTACACTTATGTATTTTGCGCACCCCCTACTTTGGGCATAAATTTCTCAAGAAAAAAGTGTGCAAATTACATGAGTTTTTACGGTAACAATTATTTATGTGCCATATTAGGAAGAAATGACATGGCAATGACCTCATCAATCTGGTTATAATATATTACTAACCTTGTCTGCGTTACGTCTTTTGCTTTCCTGTCAGTCATAAGTTCACGGCACTGACAACCTGCTGGTGCCCAAGTGCGGTTCAGAAGGGTTCCAAGCGTCTGGAACCTCCCAGGCAACCATAGCACTGCAAAACACAATCATTTATCATACACAGGATGTATATAACAGACAATCTTCTACAGATATACAACACAAAACCAAAACAGACAATCTTCTACAGCTATACAACACAAAACCAAAACAGACAATCTTCTACAGCATAAAACCAAAACAGACAATCTTCTACAGCTATACAGCATAAAACCAAAACAGGCAATCTTCTACAGCTAAACAACACAAAACTAAAACAGGCAATCTTCTACAGCTATACAGCATAAAACCAAAACAGACAATCTTCTACAGCTATACAACACAAACCCAAAACAGACAATCCTCTACAGATATACAACCCAAAACCGAAACAGTCAATCTTCTACAGCTATACAGCACAAAACCAAAACAGAAAATCTTCTACAGATATACAGCATAAAACCAAAACAGTCAATCTTCTACAGCTATACAGCATAAAACCAAAACAGGCAATCCTCTACAGCTAACAACACAAAACTAAAATAGACAATCTTCTACAGCATAAAACCAAAACAGACAATCTTCTACAGATATACAACACAAAACCGAAACAGGCAATCTTCTACATCTATACAACACAAAACCAAAACAGACAATCTTCTACAGCTAAAAACAACACAAATGCCTTTGTGGGGTACACATTGTCCCAAGAGGTTTCGGAATATAACTACATTTGTATGTATTTAAAACAGAAACAAAAAAATCCCGACCTCACTACTCACTTGAAACAATGAACTAGAACTATCGTGCATCCTCTCAAGTCAGAGGATACACAATCTATTTTGCTTCATTTTGAAATCAAAAAGTTTGCATGTGACGTAGTGCCTGCATCTCCCATGTAAGCCCATTTAAAAGAAGTAAGAGAGTTTTTATTTCACCAATATGTAGTGCATTACCTAGATTCTGGATCGACAATGATCAGATATTTCATCTTTCCTTTAAATCACTGTTACTCTGTTCAATCTTTAATTTTTCACATAGTACAGACAAGGCATTAGCACAAATCGTTGCACAAAACAGTAATATAGTGAAACATTTTAATAGCCGATGTATCGAAGATACGTCCTCAATATATCTAATTAAAATTGATTAGTTCAAGAAGAAGATAATTGGGGTCTTTGAGAAATGACATATAATGATGACGGGGTTGGAATTTAGGGTGTATTATAGTCTTTATCAGGGGGTTTGTTGAGCCTGAAATAGTTAACCACACATACAATGTTAAAATACCCATTAACCGGACTCATATTAACGTTACCTATCAAAATTGTAAGCTTTATGCAGAGTAACAAAGATCTACAGACAAAACTGCAGTACGTCACAGTTGTTGACCGGGTTTGTTTGCTGTATTTCTTAAAACTGTTACCAATTATTCAAAAGCAAGTTAGGTAACAAGAAATATGTGTTCGCACACACGTACATTTACACATGTGAACTTAACCCCCCCCCCCCCCCTTTCATTTGTTACGCAAACAAAGTGAAAACCAAGCAGAAATACAACTTAGAACTATGACGACTTGTAAAACAAACGCTTCCACGGAATGTTAAAATCACATACTAACGCAACAGAAAAACAATAATCAATTGTTCAGCGATTATACACGTGAAGGTCATATTAGTAATACACAAGTGCAGTACGTACAAGTTTTGGTCGCCATTTTCACACAAACTGAAAACGAGGCTATTTTGCTTTTAAGCATGCGCATCACGAAGCAACAATGGCGGACACCTCGGAGCTCAAGGCAAGTCTTCAGTTACAATATAATCGAGTGCTTTGTATGTCTATCAAGAATATTTCAGTATGAGATTATCTCAGAAGAAAATGGTTCCGACACATCTCGTTCATTTCATTACTGATAGTTATCACTGGAGCCGTAGAACGATGATTAAATATCGATGAAATTTGGCTCTTTTTAAGAGGAACCGTGACCTCATTTCGGGGATCGGGATGAAATCGGCTTCTCTTCAAAAGTTTTCATCGTAAAAGATAGATATATACATATTTATAAAGTGTTTATCAAATTTGATAAGCATAACCTTGATTGAATAAGTTATTATAACCATAAAGTACATAATATTGCGCTATAAAAATCGAAGTGGAGACAAAAGTTCTCGCGTTTTTTTTGTTCGCAGAATAACCAAAGGGACGTAACTGTGCACGGAAAGTAGGTCAACGTGATTGTTTTTGTAGATAATCTTGAGGCAAGAATATTAACGACGCAGTAACATATTTTTTCATGTCACGTGGTCTTTATTAACGTGTTTATCACAAAACATCTTATTATGTCTTTGGCAATTGTTACTTTCACATGTAACAACTTTACTAGGGTCAAAATGTTCAATTCAAGGACAGATAATTATAAATATGTGATTACTTTTGAATCTTATCTAGCATTATTGGTGCTTTTTGTATAAATATGTTCATAAATATATATTCACAATTCCGTATTAATTGGTGTAGATAGTTACTTGTTATTTTTAAGCATTTACCTTTCACAAAATAATCTTTAAGGTTGAGTGGCAATCGGTATGACATGTTGGCCATCTTGATTTTTTTCACAGAGGCAAACAAAAATGAAGCTTGTACATGTTTGTTCTTATACCTGCCAACTCTTTTTAGAAGGGAGACTCATAGTCTCAATATTGGACCATCATATTTTTTTTCCAATATATGTATATCTTTTTTCCGCCAAGAACTATTATTACCAACATATCACTGGCCCTTAGTGAGGAATTACAAATCTTCACTTGAAGGTTACCACCAACCAGTCTCTTTACTAATTTTTCATCCTCGTTATATGTACATAGTTTTAATATAATACCTAAAAATTACCAAAAAAATTTCTTTGAAATGCCACCTCCTAGGTCAATTGCACTTGAACCTTGGAGTTTTGATCCTTGTAATGGAAGAAGAAGAAGATATATATATTGTAAAATTACTTGCACTTAAATGCACTTAACTTACACGAATCTGAATTAATAGATACTTCTGAAGGTATTGAGTTTAATCAAATCTAATTTCTTTGATTTTGTTACAGTAGGGAGTTTCTTACCAGGTAGGAAGGGGAATAGGAAACATATTATTTTAAGACCTGATTCAATGTGGACAAAGTTCATCAAGTATCTTATGATTTAAATTGACTTGCGTAATCTCTTAACTGTTTGTGACAAATAAAGTATTTGTCTGTTTTAATATTTGAAGTTCTTTTAAATGAAAGGCTGTAGAAAACCAAACTCAAAACGGTTTAAACCTATCAATTTTACTCTTTAATGACAACGGGTTTTGTATATATATATATATATATATAATATGACTGGAAAGATTGCATCTCATATGCATTTTGTAAATTGTTAAATTGGTTTGTGTGGTTGTAACAGTTTTATTATGTTGTGAGTTGCTGCAGCTGAACTGAGGCACTTGGTTTCATCTTTCATGAAGTGAAGATCCATGTGAAAATCAGTTAACATATCTGAAGATAATATGTTGTGTTTGTGATGGGTTTATTTCTGTCCATATTTGACCATGTTACAGATATACATTTTACATGATAGCTATATAGGGACATGTGTAATACAATGAACACCAATAATCTGGTTGCTATCATAAGGATATATTACAAAATACTGTAGTTCCAAGCTGTGTGTCCAACAAGAGGAGAACCTGAATTATCAGTCAAGTTCCCTTTTGAGAATGTCAGGTGTGAAATTTCTTCAATCTTTTCCAAAATTCCCAACTCTACCATCCAGGCTTGCTTTTGATTTAATACCTTTGCACAGAAAGTATATGATACCAAATGACCACCAAATGATGTGACTATTGTTCTAAAAAATTATCAGGATACCTTTTATTCTAATTTTGTGCAAAAAGTAAATATATACAGATAATACAGTATACTAAAGACAGAGAGTAAGGTAAACGAAGGAGCATTAACAGCCAGGATTCTGTAACAGTGGACTTCTACTGTAACAGAATCCTGAAAGGATTCCATAACGATGGACGTCTACTGTAACAGAATCCTGAGAGGATTCCATAACGGTGGACTTCTACTGTAACAGAATCCTGAGAGGATTCCGTAACGGTGGACGTCTACTGTAACAGAATCCTGAGAGGATTCCATAACGGTGGACTTCTACTGTAACAGAATCCTGAGAGGATTCCATAACGGTGGACGTCTACTGTAACAGAATCCTGAGAGGATTCCATAACGGTGGACGTCTACTGTAACAGAATCCTGAGAGGATTCCATAACGGTGGACGTCTACTGTAACAGAATCCTGAGAGGATTCCATAACGGTGGACGTCTACTGTAACAGAATCCTGAGAGGATTCCATAACGGTGGACGTCTACTGTAACAGAATCCTGAGAGGATTCCATAACGGTGGACGTCTACTGTAACAGAATCCTGAGAGGATTCCATAACGGTGGACGTCTACTGTAACAGAATCCTGAGAGGATTCCATAACGGTGGACGTCTACTGTAACAGAATCCTGAGAGGATTCCATAACGGTGGACGTCTACTGTAACAGAATCCTGAGAGGATTCCATAACGGTGGACGTCTACTGTAACAGAATCCTGAGAGGATTCCATAACGGTGGACGTCTACTGTAACAGAATCCTGAGAGGATTCCATAACGGTGGACGTCTACTGTAACAGAATCCTGAGAGGATTCCATAACGGTGGACGTCTACTGTAACAGAATCCTGAGAGGATTCCATAACGGTGGACGTCTACTGTAACAGAATCCTGAGAGGATTCCATAACGGTGGACGTCTACTGTAACAGAATCCTGAGAGGATTCCATAACGGTGGACGTCTACTGTAACAGAATCCTGAGAGGATTCCATAACGGTGGACGTCTACTGTAACAGAATCCTGAGAGGATTCCATAACGGTGGACGTCTACTGTAACAGAATCCTGAGAGGATTCCATAACGGTGGACGTCTACTGTAACAGAATCCTGAGAGGATTCCATAACGGTGGACGTCTACTGTAACAGAATCCTGAGAGGATTCCATAACGGTGGACGTCTACTGTAACAGAATCCTGAGAGGATTCCATAACGGTGGACGTCTACTGTAACAGAATCCTGAGAGGATTCCATAATGGTGGACGTCTACTGTAACAGAATCCTGAGAGGATTCCATAACTGTGGACTTCTACTGTAATAGAATCCTGAGAGGATTCCATAACGGTGGGCGTCTACTGTAACAGAATCCTGAGATGATTCCATAACGGTGGACGTCTACTGTAACAGAATCCTGAGAGGATTCCATAACGGTGGACGTCTACTGTAACAGAATCCTGAGAGGATTCCGTAACGGTGGACGTCTACTGTAACAGAATCCTGAGAGGATTCCGTAACGGTGGACGTCTACTGTAACAGAATCCTGAGTGTTGATGCTCCTTCATTTACATTTCTGAATTTATTACGCTTGGATGGAGCTCTGTTTAATTATCCTTGTGATATCCACCTCTGATTCCTGTAGCAGATTGACCATATAGACCAGTGCCCAGAGGACGTTGGATCTCTGTGCCAGAATATTGTGTTGGTTCACTAACAGTTATATTCCGCTTTTTCATAAAAAACAGACTGAAAATCTCTAGAAAAACATGTTCATACATGTATGTATTACTTTCGTCAGTATTTCTCATATTTTGATTTTAAGAATAACAACTAACATTGATCAATGGTTATTGTAAATGCATAAATTAAGACTTTATATCATTGTTGTGAAGTCAATATTTTTCTTTTACAGCATATGGTCATGAGCTTCAGGGTGTCTGAGCTACAAGTTTTACTCGGATATGCAGGTAGAAATAAAACAGGTCGCAAGCAAGAATTGCTGCAACGAGCAATACAATTGGTTCAAAAAGGAGCTTCAGTCCCCATACAGATCAAAATACGAGAATTGTACAAGTAAGTGAATTTATTTTTAAGATAAATTATCTTGTTGAATCATGTTTGGTAGGCTTTCAATCCCGTTATATATCAGTTTAAAAGATATCTAGATCTGTGAGTCACTGATGAACTGGAATGAAAATTCATAAAGGTCTTTAAGAAAGATCATTATTGAAAACAGGTAGTTTCTTCAGTAATCTTTTCCATCAATGTGGATTTGGTACCTATCCTTTAGTCCAGTTTGAATATTCTAAGCATGAATTGAGAAACTATACAAAAGGTTTCAAATCTTTTCATGTATACATGGTATGTATTTATGTGCAAATTAATCTTAAGTAAAGTAGTGTATACATAATTAAAACCTTATTATGACAATTTAGAATGCCAAATGTTAAAATTATAAATCTTAAGTCTAGCATTTAAAAAAAAATTAGTTTGATTAATGACTTTATTGTACAGTTTTGAAGAAAAGGCAATATTTTATAATCAAATGACATTTAATGAATTCTTATTTATATAGCTAGATTTTTACAAAACTTAATAGTAAGGTCTGGACAGACTACTTTATTCATTGCATGCAGTCAAATTTTTTCTTCAAGCAGACGGAAAGTTCCAGGACGAAATGAGGATGAAGGGTTACCAGGTAAGAGTTGTCTGTAGAAATAGCTTTATCTGAATATAATCAGCCAAGCCTTGCTTATCCTTGTTTTATATAACACATGTATATATATGTCTTCACTACAGCTTACTATCATTTACTATCGATTAGTTGATTGTTAAAATAGCACTATCAAATGAAGCAGATATGCAAGTAGTACCCAGTTTTACAGTGAAATATATATGCATGACATTTATTATTAGTCTAAGATACATTGATTTAAGTTATATAAACTCAAAATGAACTTAAATAACAGAATGCAACTCTTCATGACGGTGTAGTAAAAAATACAGCAAATAAATGTTTCAATATGATATGGTAGCCCATTTTGTTATAACCTCCACAAGTACTACAAGATAGTAAGTTTACAGAACAACAAGATTGCACTTCGCCCTCAATCAGTCAGTAATTCTGTTGCTTTACTTTGTCAATTGCATGTCTCATTTAATCAGTCAAATAAAATGCCAAATTATGTATACATGTGAGTTTACCTTTTAGGATATAGCAGAGTGTGGCATACTGAAATAAGGTTTAGTGCCCCTCAAGAAACAGAGTTACTGCCCTTTGTTCACCACATCCTATCACTCATGGCATATCTCATTTACTCTGTCACATATAAATGCCAAATTGTGTATGTGAGTACCTCTGGGGATAGCCAAGTGTCATACGTATACTTAAATTGGTATTGCACCACTATAAACAGAGGAGCAGTGCTGGCCCTTGCTAGTTTTTTATATCCACAAGTTCGGTTCAGTAGTGAAGCCTCAAGGACTAGGAGTTTGATGAGCTGCATTTTAGATTCTGTTAAGCAAAGGTTATTTACTTAAACTTAAATTTTCCCAAAATTGATTTAAAATTAAGTTAAAGTTAAAGAATTTAAAAAAAACCCACTTTCTTTAGGGCCATTTAAGATAATACCATCCATTATATCTTAATCTAGTTGCAGCCATACGTGTGCAGTGTTGTTGTTGTAGTGTTGATTCATCTGTGGCTTTATGTAGTGGTGTTGATTTGCTGCTTTAAATTTACTTGCATTTAACTATGTGGCTGCTTGGAAGCTCTTGTTTTTCCTAGTATCTTTTCTTGATGCTTATAAGATCTATTATTTGAATTGCACAATGTATCATTCTAAAAGTAGCAGTCGGTGATTGTTTAAAAGCCTGATGTTATATGTTCATGTATACATATCGGCAAAGTTTTGATAGAAGTAGGTGAAAGTACCCCCGTAATAGAGGAATGTGATTGAGAATGGTACATTTGACTATAGTAGCAATAATCTATAGCTCTCCAACATGAATACCCTTCTTAATATTTGGGCAAATGTGAACTAAGTTTACAGTCTCAAACAATTCTGGGGTAGCGCTTGATAGGCCGTGGGATAAATTTGATAAATAATTGATTTGATTGTTTGACAAATACACATGTCAAGTTATCTATATGTTGAACAACTGTGTTTGTATTTCCGTTCTCATTGCTTCCATTTTTATATGTCCGTCAAATTTGACAGGAGTATTATGGTATAGCGTTTTCCGTCCGTCTGGGGTAAACTTTTGTTTGTCCGGCAATCTCCTCCTACATTTTTTGATGGATTTCTTTGAAACTTAGTAGGCTAAATAATCATGATATGTTGTTGTGTTTCCTGGAAAAGAATTTTGATTTGATAATTTTTGCAAAAGTTATTGCCCTTTGTTTATTTCAGTATTTGATTTTTTGTCCGGAGATATTCTCCTACATGTTTTATAGCATGTCAGCTAACCACTCTTAGAATGATGCAGATCTTATTTCAATGTAAGAAGGTATATAACCCTATATGGCATTCAACGGGCGTATATTGTCCCGCCCCGCGGTACTCTTGTTATTGTTAGATGAAGTTCAAACAAAATGGAAAGTTTGGAAAGGAAATTTTACATTTAACAAAATGAAAAGCTAGGATTTTTTTTGAATTTTTTGTAAAATAAAACTTTTGAAGTATTAAAACAATTTATACAAAACATACAGCAGTGTATAGTGTTATCCTTAACATAAAAGAATATTATAAAAAAGACCTACTCCATAGATACATTGTGTAATTGAACATTGTCTCCCTCTCCTAATCCCTCTGAGTATGTGTATTATACCTGGTACAAGAGAGTGTAAACGGTACATAAACAACCCTGTATACTCATGTCTCCCTCTCCTACTCCCTCTGAGTATGTGTATTATACCTGGTACAAGAGAGTGTAAACGGTACATAAACAACCCTGTATACTCATGTCTCCCTCTCCTACTCCCTCTGAGTATGTGTATTATACCTGGTACAAGAGAGTGTAAACGGTACATAAACAACCCTGTATACTCATGTCTTCCTCTCCTACTCCCTCTGAGTATATGTATTATACCTGGTACAAGAGAGTGTAAACGGTACATAAACAACCCTGTATACTCATGTCTTCCTCTCCTACTCCCTCTGAGTATATGTATTAAGTTCACATTTCCGTAATTGATATTAACGATGTGTCTATAGTGTGATACATTCTAAATCTATTTTCACTTTACTAGAATAGATATATACATTGTAGGCGTTGGTATGGTCGTTCCTATACATGTACTGTATATACATTTGTTTAGAAAAGGACTGGTTGAAAGTAGTCAACTTTTTCTAGTCATGTATGTTCTGTATATTTTATGAAATAAGGTAGTTTGCTAAAATAAACAGACAGAAATGTAAACGAAAAAGATAAATTCTTATGAAAAATTCTTTTTGTCACATTTATGTCTATATATACAGTTTATATTCTTGTATTCTAAGTATGGTCAGAGTTCAAGCTAAGAATTGAATAATTTAAAAGTTAAGGATGCAAGTTTAAGTAACATACTAATTATACTAACCATAAGTACTCGGTAATTTGAACCAAGTATTGAGAAGTAAATGAGTTGTTACTAGGTATGTAAACATTGCTACCTATTGTATTTTCTAGGCGGGTATAACATATTCGGTGGCCATGGCTCAAGTGGTAAGTAACTGATGGGCTTATCTTGGGGTATCTGTTATACCTAAATAAATAGAAATCATGAGGATTGATTTTGTTAAATGTTCAGCTTCTAACGGGTAGCTTAAAGTACATATGATATCACTGCTAAGTACGTATGAAGATGGCTATGAGCACTTCTGAATAAGGTAGGCATGCATTAGTGTATTTGGTGTGAAGTATAATAATGATATGATGGGACATTATGTTAACATTATATTGACTATTATATATACATTGACCTTGGCCGGACATTGCATGTACTTTACTTGGTATATGTTGTAAATTTGCATTGCCTTTGTGTGAACAGCCACTGACCGAGCAGATAGCTGCAGAGAAAAGCCCAGTATAAAATCACCAGGTATACCACGGGCACAGTTCTTGTTCATTGCACCTGTTTTGGTTGCCATGTTATGAAATCTTTTGATTAATCCTGCATACCCAGTTGTCCCTTCACAATAACCTGCTGTCCTGGTGGGGGGAAAAAAGAAAATTCAAAGAATTCAAAATGCTCAGTCATCTTGCTAAAAATTGTAACCATGAATATTCTTTACACGCTATAAAATGTGAATGCATTCAAAATATAACGGCGTTAAGGGTTGATCATATGATTTATGATCAACAAAAAGTAAAAGAATGCGACTGCACCAGTGTTTGATCTAACTATGTGCCGGTACAGATAAAATAGGTTGTTGCAGAAATCCAGATGTTATGATATATTGGTTCGTAACAAAATGGGAAGAAAAGGCTTTTTCTTCTGCTTTTGGCTACTTTTTGCTTTGCATATAACTGCAACACTAAACCGCTAATTTGAATGATGTGGCTGATCATTTGTATAAATGTTAACAATATACGTAATCCAGATTGGGCATTTAAACGTAACATTGTTCGTATCTAACTTCAGTAATAGTTGTTTTGTTTGTTTGGCATGTTTTATCCTTGACTTGTTTATCATGCACACACGGATCATCAGCTGTTTATGAAGACCAGCTGATTTATAATATACTGATAGTGGGATTGTGTGGATTCTCAAATCAATATCCTTGGTTGACCAGCGAATAGTTTTATGGAATACTCTATAGAAAATATTATATTTGACAAAACCATGTTTTATCTAAATGTTCCTGTTAATTCCCAAGTGATGTGTGGGTTAGCTTCTCTGTTTGGAATTGAAATTGTGGTCCTTTTGAGATTTATTGCTGCTGGCTGGACAGTAAAATGGGAAAATGTTTTCTTGTCATGAATTTGAAATTGAATGCATTACATTTCTTTATCCGACTTTAAGATGACGTAACAGGGGGTAAAAAATCCTCAATGGGTAGTGTCTTAGCTAAACATAAATTGTTTGACATCAGAATTTTATTATATGGGTAAAAATTAAAGTTCTTGACCACATCCATTGTCATGTTATAATAACTAACTTGTTTTATTTGTTCTGTACCTATTAAATCAGCAAGCAGTTAAATACACAAAAAGGAAACTTTAGTTTTATAATGGGGCTGTTATTATGGCCTCCCACTATATATGCTCAATTAATTTGGGAATATGATCACATTGAGTATCTGTATTTGTATTTGTACATATTTGACTGATAGCTGTATAGGTACACTGCATGTGGACCACCTGATCTGATCGCACAGACTTTAGCCATTGACCCATTGTAGCTTGGACTACATTCTCTCTGCAGTGCTCTCTCCTCATTCTTGAATCATATAAGACCTGATTCATGCTGCTATGCCTTATTTGTTCCAATGATGTAGCTATTATGAAAAGTTTAAAACAGATTAAAAATAAAGAGCCTGATTTTGTGGCCACTGGTACCGCCCAGTAATTTTTCCCCAATGGGGTGAGAGCACTGTAGCTTATAGTGTAAGGATTATGTGTAAAGTATCTTTGGGTACCGTCTGTATGGTTCAGTGATTTTCTTTTATTTGCAGTCAAATCAGAAGGTCCAAGATACAGAGGTGATTACTTTGACTGATGCAATATCCTGTGTTATAGCAGGGAGTAGACTACTTGTCTTCAAACACAGCAAACAACAAGTCTCGTCATCTAAAGTTGGCTTGTAACATAAGTAGTGTTACCATACTGATGTAACTGTTTATAAAATGTATAGATATAAATGTTCAATTCATTTCTAATTTGTGTGTAAACCTTTTATTAATTTGGGAGTCTTTGTTATTTGCTGTTTTTCTTGGCATGCTTATAAATAGCAGTAAACAATATCTATACAAGTGGCTATTAATTTATTAATAGTTGGACATGATACTGTTATACAAGTACTTGACTTTGGTCATGTTTTAGCTATCAGCCACACATTCGCAATTTCTGAAGAACAGTTTAAAATATTTTATACAATAATGACATCTAGGGAGTGTTCGATTTTGCTTGTGTAATATTGATGTAGAAATATTTTCTATGCTGTAGGTTCTCGGCCGATGGACTACTCGACGGCACAGCGCATGGTGGAGCCGCCTAGCACAATGGGGATTCCAGTACACCCAGATGTGCGCCTAAAACATCTCCCCTTTTACGACTGTATTACAGAACTCATGAAGCCCACAAGTCTTGGTACGACCTAATAGTACTATAGTTTAATGATAATAAACAGCTGTCAGTAGATCAGGTATAATGCTATATGAGTTCAGCTGACAAATCCAAGCAAGTTTTTACTTAATGTATGGTCAGTGTTTAACTGGGTTTACCTGATGTGTCTAGCTGTGATGAAAGTGCAGGGGTCCTGAAAACAGCCAGAGATGTGGGCTGTTGTTCCTGGGGACATGTCACAATGTTTACATGTGGTGAGCTTGTGACAGACCTCAGGATAGGAGCGAGCATAATTCTGAGCTGTTGCTTTAATATAAAGATGGATTGACGCAAAAGTACTGTGAGTGTTATAATTTTAGCAGTATTTGTGCTATATCTGATCCGCTAATTCATGTCCACAGCTAACATTAGACAATGTAGCAAAGGCTGTCCAAACCATTCAGTGTAGGACAAAATACAATGACAACTCACCTGCACACATACATTTATTTTCTTATAAGGTAATCACTCAATTTACCAGGCTTGCCTTTCTATATGCCTTATTACCATACACCTGCTGTTAGCAGCTGTACACACTGGATATGTTAAAGTATATTGTAGAAAATGATATTTGTGCAATGCATGAATTTAGTTACAGCGATTTTGCTAATCTAAGGGTGCACTAATAAGTCCTTACCCCTTTGTTACAGTACCCTTAAACTTAAAACTGAATCACTTTTCTGAAAATCAGACAATGTACTTACACTGTCAAAGAATTAACATGAGTACATCCCATTGAGCAGTCCACTTGGGCAGGTATCATAGCGATTCCTTTATCTACATTTGTGCATCTTAATCACAGGATGATTATTGTGAAAACAGCCTCAGAATATCACATTGCCCATAATGGTTGGTACACTAAGGACTTTTTTGTTACTTTTAATTGGTTAAAATAATTCCAGACTGAGGGTTTAGCTGTGATGAAAGTGCAGGGGTCCTGAAAACAGCCAGAGATGTGGGCTGTTGTTCCTGGGGACATGTCACAATGTTTACATGTGGTGAGCTTGTGATGGACCTCAGGATAGGAGCGAGCATGATTCTGAGCTGTTGCTTTGATGAAAGATGGATTGATGCTAAAGTACTGTGGGTGTACTGATGTAGCACTACGTCTCATCCGCTGATTCATGTCCACAGCTAACATTAGACAATGTAGCAAAGGCTGTCCAAACCATTCAGTGTAGGACAAAATACAATGACAACTCACCTGCACACAAACATTAATTTTCTTATGAGGTAATCACTCAATTTACCAGGCTTGCCTTTCTATATGCCTTATTACCATACACCTGCTGTTAGCAGCTGTACACACTGTATGTGTTAAAGTCTATTGCAGAAAACGATATTTGCACTAATACATGAATTAAGGTCCAGCGATTCTGCTAATCTAAGGGTGCACTAATAAGTCCTAACCCCTTTGTTACAGTACCCTTAAACTTAAAACTGAATCGTTTTTGCTGAATATCAGATAATGTACTTACACTGTCAAAGAATTAATATAAGTACATCCACAGGAATTGGGCAGGTATCATAGTAATTTCTTTGTCTGTATTTGTACATCTTTCTTCACATGATAATTAGGAAGCTACCTTTAGAATATCACATTGCACATAATGATTGGTATTCTAGGTATAATTTTGTGGCGTTAAATTGGTAAAAATAGTTCCAGACTGAAGTTTAAGCTGTGATGAAAGTGCAGGGGTCCTGAAAACAGCCAGAGATGTGGGCTGTTGTTCCTGGGGACATGTCACAATGTTTACATGTGGTGAGCTTGTGATGGGCCTCAGGATAGGAGTGAGCATAATTCTGAGCTGTTGCTTTGATATAAAGATGGATTGACGCAAAAGTACTGTGGGTGTACTGATGTAGCACTACGTCTCATCCGCTAATTCATGTCCACAGCTAACATTAGACAATGTAGCAAAGGCTGTCCAAACCATTCAGTGTAGGACAAAATACAATGACAACTCACCTGCACACATACATTTATTTTCTTATAAGGTAATCACTCAATTTACCAGGCTTGCCTTTCTATATGCCTTATTACCATAAACCTGCTGTTAGCAGCTGTACACACTGTATGTGTTAAAGTCTATTGCAGAAAACGATATTTGTGCAATGCATGAATTTAGTTACAGCGATTTTGCTAATCTAAGGGTGCACTAATAAGTCCTTACCCCTTTGTTACAGTACCCTTAAACTTAAAACTGAATCTCTTTTCTGAAAATCAGATAATGTGCTAACACTGTCAAAGAATTAATATGAGTACATCCCAATGAGCAGTCCACTTGGGCAGGTATCATAGCGATTCCTTTATCTACATTTGTGCATCTTAATCACAGGATGATAATTGGGTAAACAGCTTCAGAATATCACATTGCCCATAATGGTTGGTACTCTAAGGACTTTTTTGTTTCTTTTAATTGGTAAAAATAATTCCAGACTGAGGGTTTAGCTGTGATGAAAGTGCAGGGGTCCTGAAAACAGCCAGAGATGTGGGCTGTTGTTCCTGGGGACATGTCACAATGTTTACATGTGGTGAGCTTGTGATGGACCTCAGGATAGGAGCGAGCATAATTCTGAGCTGTTGCTTTGATTAAAGATGGATTGACGCAAAAGTACTGTGGGTGTACTGATGTAGCACTACGTCTCATCCGCTAATTCATGTCTACAGCTACATTAGACGATGTAGCAAAGGCTGTCCAAATCATTTAATGCAAGACAGCAAACGACAACAACTTTCCTGCATACATTTAATTTTTTCTAAGTCAATCACTCAATTTACCAGGCTTGCCTTTCTATAGGCTTTATTTCCACACACCTGCTGTTAGCAGCTGTACAGATGTACCCAGTATGTGTTAAAGTATATTGTAGAAAATGATATTTGTGCAATGCATGAATTTAGTTACAGCGATTCTGCTAATCTAAGGGTGCACACAGCGATTCTGCTAATCTAAGGGTGCACGAATAAGTCCTAACCCCTTTGTTGCAGTACCCTTAAACTTAAAACTGAATCTTTTTTCTGAAAATCAGATAATGTGCTTACACTGTCAAAGAATTAATATGAGTACATCCCAATGAGCAGTCCACTTGGGCAGGTATCATAGCGATTCCTTTATCTACATTTGTGCATCTTAATCACAGGATGATAATTGGGAAAACAGCCTCAGAATATCACATTGCCCATAATGGTTGGTACACTAAGGACTTTTTCGTTACTTTTAATTAGTAAAAATAATTCCAGACTGAGGGTTTAGCTGTGATGAAAGTGCAGGGGTCCTGAAAACAGCCAGAGATGTGGGCTGTTGTTCCTGGGGACATGTCACAATGTTTACATGTGGTGAGCTTGTGACTGACCTCAGGATAGGAGCGAGCATAATTCTGAGCTCATTTGCTAACACATCGCCTTTCATGGGTCTGACCGACAATTTCATGATAATGACCTGTGATGAAATACCACACCCTATTAGTCTATAGAATGACACACAATCAATTCAAGATTTTGACTTTTAAGTATGAACCACAGGTGGACTTTAATTTGCCATTACGGATATGATTGTCTAAATAACAAACCGAGTAGATGCCCCAAAGAGTCCTCAGCTGAGTGACGGAGCGTGGCAACCCATACCTATCGGACTGTCTCTGGGTTTTCTGAACAACCCAATTAATTGCATTTTAACTTCCATCAAAAAGTTTTGGGTTGGGGTTTAAAAGCTAGGGTCGGTCGGGAACCCTAAACAGACATACTTTTTTTTTCGCCTTAGTTGTCAAAAGATTTTAAATTGTGTCGTTTTTCTTCTCTTTACAGTGCCAAGAGGGACATCAAAGTTCCAGGAAACACATTTCAATTTTCATTTAACACCACAGCAGGCACAAGATATAGCCATGTCCAGGTATGTCTGCATCAACAAGTTTATGTTGTCATGTAATAATGCAAAAGAAAAAATTGCCAAATTTTTAGCTCACCTGGCCTGATGAGCTGAATTCATTCAATAGGAGAAAGGTTGGGGTTAAGGTTTGGAGGTGTTAAATCATTTAAAAGACTACTTCAATTTAGATGAAAGGGTTTGAATCTCATTTATTAGCTCACTTGGCCCGATTATGGAGAATTCCTCAACCAAGAAAATCATATTCTGTACAATATTTTGTGAATAAAGGTTATTGATCATTTTAGGACAGAGTTTTGGGACTCCGTAGGTTTACTGCATGTGTTAGACCTTGAAAAGACTATTGAAGTTTGTGGGATTGAAATTTAATCTTGTTGAGCATGGGGTATCCCTGATATTCTTTATTTTTTGTAAAATGACAGTGTGGCTCTTCTTGAATACTGGAAACTGTGCCATATAGAGGAAATGGGCAAAAAACACTTTGACCTGTTTCCATTAGGCCAGTGGTTGCTTATGATATGAATAACACTCTTATGGTTTTGAATACATATGGTTATTCCTCTTACATGTACTTCTCTCACGAAGCATAATTTCAATTCTTTTGGGCAATAAGAAATTTAAGGTAGCCACCATGGTTTAAATTAGCAGGAATTTGCCCTTGTATTGGTATTATATAAAGTATACAAAGGTGAATTTAACATATGGTGAGTGAAGTTATAGAACCAGACTCAAAAAACGAAAATTTAGCATCGTGAAAGTGTCATAGTATACTTTATGTTTGATTGATGTGTATCCCATATACTAATGATTTGGCTTACCTGGCAAAACTCAGATGCAACATTTCTTTTTAATTTCAGGGATTTCAGACCAGGTGCTAAATATGAATTTATAACACAAATACAACTCAGGTGAGTAAACACAACTCTGGTCAATACATAAAAATACATATTGGGTAATTATAAGAACACACAAATTTAACTCTGGTGATACATAAATACAGTTCAGGTAAACAAATAAGTTTCACTGGAGAACACTTATAAATATATCTGGGATAGGCCCACACAAAATTTATGCTTATAAATAATCAAAAGAGATTTAAAAAACTTAATGTTAATTATGAAAGATACGTATTATTGCAAAAAAGGTTATTGGAAAAAGTTTACAATTGAAGAAAAGATTGTCTTTTTTAACCATTGTGTAGGCGTTTCATTGAATTATTTTGTCAATATTATATTTTGTAACAATCGTAATATTGGTCTTAAGCTTCTTCTGTAGTATTATATTTTTTACTTTCTTTGAAAATTTTGACTAAAATATATTTGTATTTTCATTGTAGGTTTAGTCTTTTAGAAACAACCTGTGAACAGGACGATAACTTCCCACCCAACATTTGTGTGCGAATTAACGGTAAAATGGCACCATTGCCGGTAAGTGTAACCCTAAACAGCATCAAATGGAATGAAACAACATATATATAATACTGAAATTGGTATACCAGAGTAAACTGATCATCATAATACAGGAAATTAAACCCCATCTTCGCTAGCCAAGTGTTTGCTTCGTATACGTCTATACGAAGAGAAGAACACTTGGCTAGCGAAGATGAGGAAACCCTGATTTGATTGGAGAGTCTTGCTAGTTATCTACATTGCGGAGGTTTCTGAGTTATAAAGGTTTCAGTTCCAACAGGTTGCACTTTACTTTGATAGACTTCACTCTCTTCTAAGCTGTCAAGTCATGATACAGTGAAGATATTTTGACTGTTAAATAATTACAGAAAAATAGATGTTGTTACAGTGTGTTACAATAATTTCTGTTGTCTAATAAATAATCTAAAAAAAGCTTGATTTTGAAAAATAAATAAATATGTAAATACCTCTATGGCATATTGCAGAATCCCATTCCAACCACCAAACCTGGTGTAGAGCCCAAGAGGCCGGGTAGGCCTGTGGATATCACACCACAGTGTCGACTCTCTCCAACTATGGCAAACCAGGTGGAAATATCATGGGCCACCGACTTTAACAGGGTAAGTACCTGGCCTTTGTAATATCATGCTGTCAGGTTTTTTCTCCCATCTGAATGAAAACTCCTGGAACATGCTTTGAATGCTACAAACCCGCTAATCAAATGTTTGGTACGTACATTGTTTGTTCATGATATAAAACTTTGATACACTTATAACAAAGTCTATTTTTGTCCCCTGGGAAGGGAATGTCTCTTAATGATGAGAAGTTATGAGTATAGCAAACTAATTTTCAGGTTCTGTGGGATTGGTAAATGTTTTATCGTAGAATATATAAGTACATGTACAATAATTAACTTGAAATTGGATTCCCTGCATATCATTTGCCATTACAAACATGTAAAACGGTGAATAACCAAAGTGGGTTCTGATAGTTCAAAAAATTTGGCGAGATCTTAACCTAAATTAGGTAAATTTCAGTATCTTTTTATGCCACCTTTCAAGAGTATGGAGATATTTTGTATAAGTACCGTTCTTCTGGTTCTTATTTCTTGTTACTCAAGCTGTATCTGTTACACCATTAAATATATTTTGATAAAACTAGAAGTGTACCTGTAACGCCCACAGTAGGTGTGCAGTGTACTGTAATCACGTCACCAGTAAAATAAAGAACATTTTCAATTACATTTTGTTTAGGTCATTCCTGTTAATTTATAAAAGATACATAGATGAAAATTGATCTAAAGGAACCGGTATTACCATATAGAAGACCTTTCTTTTTCCATTTGATCATCTCGGATAAATGTTTATTTGTCATTCTAGGGTTTAAGCTACCTTTCCATTTGGGGCTGAAATGTAGTGCCATTCCCACTGAATCAGAGAGAGATTTTTTCCTAGGTCAAGATTTATTTTTAAGTTTTAAGTTTTTGCTTCTAACAGGAAATATTTTCTCCTCCTAATTTTCTTTATAGATAACTGATTAACTTAGTCTACATTCTTTTAAAAGGAATGAAGAGAAAAAGAAAAACAGTCAATTTTGTCAAACTTGGTGGTAATTCCCAAAATTCTAAGGAATATAACCCTGTATTCTTATTCATTTCAGTAGAATAATGACCACATGTAGAATATGTGATGTTTCTGTATGTTAGACAGTTTATTACAACCTAAACAAGACTGGCACCCTCAGGCGGTGTTTGTTCATTTCTTTGGAATAGGCAATGAGTTTTGACATTTATAACCAGTCTGATGACTGCTCTCTGTGTTACTGACCACCTTGCTTGTGATTCAGGGCTACTGTGTTGCAATATATTTGGTGAAGCGGCTATCCTCTGACACATTACTACAGCGACTGAAACAGTTTGGGAGTCGGCATGCTGATCACACGAGAGCTTTAAGTAAGAAATGCTTGTATCCTTCAATCTATCGTTTGTCTAAACTGTGTTTGTATCCCATTATCTATCATTAGGGCCCCTTTTCAGAGATACGGCTGCCCTATAGTAATCACTCTCTCTGTCTGTCTGTCTGTCTCTGTCCGTCCACAAATTTTGTTCCTGGCTGATAACTTTGGTATTTATTGACCGATGTACATGAAACTTGGTCAAGATGTTCAGTTCACGAAAATACACATTGGGGTAAAAAGTCAGGGTCAAAGGTCAACGTCTTTAGGTTCAAAGGTCAAGGTCAAATTTTGCATATTTTCACTGGTCAACATTTTGGTATGACACTTTGAAGCAATGTTGATCAGAATTAAACAAGGGGTCAACCTGAACAATTGTCAAGGACATTGGGTCAAAGGTCAAGGTTAAATTATGTATCTTTTCACTGGTGAACATTTTGGTATGACACTTTGAAGCAATGTTGCTCAGAATTAAACAAGGAGTCAATTGGCCAAAGGTCAAGGTCACTGGGTCAAAGGCCAAGGTCAAATTTTGTATCTTTTCCCTGATGAACATTTTGTTATGACTTTATGAAGCAAAGTTGGTCGGAATTTAACAAAGAGTCAATTGACCTAAGGTCAAGGTCACTTGGTCAAAGTTCAAGGTAAAATTTAGTAATTTTTTTTGCTATTGA